CCCGCCCCAGCGCTGCCCCCCGGTTCCTGCGCCTCTGGATCCCGCAGCATCGCGTCCCCTCGGGGGTCTCTACCAGCACCCACGGCTCCTCACACCCTGCACCCCATATCCAAGGGCCCCATGGCACCCCTTCCCCAGCACACCCTCCCAAAAGCCCCCCTACACCCTCTCCCCTGCAGGCTGCACTGCCCACTCCACGTGTCACCCCGAGTGGGGCAGGGGGCTGCCAGCAGAAGGAGTGAGGGCAGGGCCAGGATGGCTTTGCTTCAGGTTGAGTCTCTTGTCCTGGCACGGGGTAAAGCAATGCAGGACATGCAGCAAAGCCCTGAGTGTCTGCAGGTTCAAAGTCTTCAACACCTGCACCTACCAAACCTTCTCCCCTGATCCTGGCACCAGCCATTCCCAAGGCTGCTGTGGCCTTCAGGGAAATAGGGGGACTGTGCATCCCTGCAGCCTGACCCTGGGTCTTGCCCCAGGAGGCCCTTCTCCTCCAGCAGGAAGGGAGCAGAAGGGTTCCTGGCTGCTTGGATGGCATCACTGCAGGGGGTATGGCACATCAGAGCTCGCTCATTGCTGGTGACAGCTTTGCTGCTGGGGACACTGCTGTCCAGCAGCCCCTGAGCCCTGCTGGTGCCCAATGCTGTGACCTCTGTCAGGAGGAGCCCTCTGTGTGCAAAGCCAACAGCTCTTCTGGGGATCTGGCAGCCACAGGGAAGACCCACCTTGCCAGGGCATGTGAGGGACACTGACAGGACAGCAGGCACAGCTGAGGGGGCACCACTGGGCTGTGGGCAGCCTCCAGGTACTGTGGCTGCCTGCAGAAGGAGCTGGAGCACCTCCAACCTTGAGGACACTCCCCAAAACTATCACAGTGCCAGAAGCTGCCTGCACACTGTGGAGTGGACATCACTCAGAAGGCAGCAGGCAGGGGGCTGGCAGCAGAGGTGGGGAGCTGCAGGCAGGAGACTTCCTGAGGTGCACAGCAAGTGTGAAACTGCACCTTGTTCCCCTGTCTGGCCTCCTGATGGCCAGTTCAGTGCTATTTCTCAAGGCCAGACTGGCCTAATCCCTTCAGCAGGGAGTGGCCCGGGAGGGCTGGGCCAGGTAAAGCCCAGCTCTGACACTGACATACTGTGTGGTCACCTCTCTTGACTCAGGAGGATAACAAGGCTTTGTGGTGCTCGGTTGGGCTGGCGTGTTTACTGGAGGCAAATGCTCTGTGGCTGAGCAGGGCTGCTGACGTGGCTGGGAAGGAGCCAGCCTGCTCAAATTGCAGCTGAGCAGGTGAGAGCACACGACTAGGGGCTGCCCCTACCTCAGCTTGATGTGTCACTCTGCTCAGGTGTCTGCTGAGGTCCCCCAAGAATGCCTCTTGCCTGGGGCTGGGTGTCCTGCTCCTGCACCTCCCAGCTCTGCCAGCTCCTGTGCCTGGCTGGCCACCGGGACATCTGCACGGTGTGGAGCCTGAGGATGTGGGGACACGACACTCCCTGTGGGGACACCACCCCCCCGGGGCTTGGCAGGAGCCTCCACTGGCACCGTGAAGGGATTGCAAGTGGCAGGACTGGGCTCCCCTCCCTCAGGGCAGGACACGGGCAAGGAGCTGACAGGCTCCTGGCACAGAGCAGTGCCGTGGACCCCAGCCAGCCCGGTTCCCCTCGCCTCACCTCCCCAGCCCTGCCGAGATGCTTGTTTCTCAGCAGCCATGTCCCTTTGAGGGTGTTTACAGCTTTTCTGCCTCCCCACTGTCCCAGGCTAAAATCTCCCCTTTTAAGGCTGCTGCAGGACCGGCAGCTGCTGGAGCTGTGCCTGCTGCAGGCTGCTCCTTGCAATGTATCACCTCGTTTGCTGGGAAAGCAGCCTTGCCTTGCTCTTCTCTTGGCTCCACAATGTACTGATTGAGTCAAGCTGCAGCTCACTCCCAGCCCCTTCCACGCCTGCCTCCTGGAGAATAAAATCTATTTTCTCCAACGAGTGATTCACCTGCCTGGTGCTGGTTCACCTTTCCCTTCACAGCCAACTCTTCCCCAGCTCCATCCTCGCAGCTCCCTGACTCACTTCCCAAACCTCTAATAGATGGGAGAAACCTGAGAAGGGAAGGGCGGGAACAAGCCATGTTACATTTTCTCTTGATGATGGGCACACTTTGATGCTGGTTCCCCCGGGGATGTTTGGTGGGAGCTGAGCTCTGCGTCACGGAGAGGAGAGGCATCATTCCTACCTGGGCTGAGCTGGTGACCCGGATCTCCAGGGGACACCTCCAAAGGACCTGGGCATTCTTTGTTAGGGCGAGGGCTGTAGACACAAGAAGGTGCCATCTGCCAAGGCTGGGGGCACAGGGGAGGCAGGGATGCTGCGGTGCCTGCCACCTGCAGGCATCTGGCAAGGCTTTTTCTTAGGGATCCTCACCAGAAGCGGAGGCTCTTTACTGACTTCGGCATCACCTCCACCCCTTCTCACCTTTTGGCCAGGAGCAGACATGCTTGGCCATGAGCAGGAAAACAAATGGTGACGTGGCTAGAGCTGGGTTGCCTGCGTTGGTTTAACTGGAATAAAGCGGGTGCCCCGCTGAGCGGCACGGCTTGTGCTGGAGAGCCGGGATGAGTCAGGCTCAGTGCCGATGATATCACTGCTTCTCCAACCCCCCCGCGGCAAAGCAGGATGGAGGGGCCACAGCAGAGGGGCCCTGGGTCCATGTCACTCTGCACGGGCAGCAGCCACACGTGCTGTCCCCGCAGCAGGGGCTCAGGCTGCAGTAAAGCCCCTGGGAACCCGGGGTGCTCCGGGGGACTCGTGTGCACAGGAACAGGCTCTGCGCCTCGCGGTGGGAACCAGTGCCAACCCACACAGACGTGTCACATAGCAGAGACCTGAGCTAATTCCCCGGCCCTGCCTCCTCTCCTCCTCGCTGGCAGTGCAGGACAGGGGTCAGCAGGGACAGTGGCCAAAGGCTGATGCTGCCTGATGGCTACACCAGACGACAGGAAGCTGTGAGCAAGCCAGAGCACGCAGGTACCCAGCAGAGATTTTCTCCTGCAGCTTCTTGCAGACTACGAGCCCCCACTCCTGCCCTCCTACACCAGCCTGCCCACCCAGCCCTCCAGGGTGTAGCCACAGCGCCGGCATCCCTTGCTGAGGTTGGAAAACATCAAGCAGGGCACTTGTTGGATACAGCTAAACTTTCTCGTGGGCAAAGCTCATTCCTTGTAACCACTGTCCTGAGAGTGAGCTGAAGCCAGCAGCAGGCAAGGGCAGGGGTGCAGGCACTGGGTCCCCAGCACAAAGCTGTTTTTTTGGCAACAAGAGCTCCCAGGAGGGAAGGGAAGGGGGAACAGCAAAGCAACAGTAGCCAAAACAGCTGGGATACAAACAATACCCAGTTATCTTTTAATCGCCCAGACAGTGAGACAAACACACTAAAAATGGGGCAGGCGGGAGAGGCCACAGACACTGGAAACTCCCTTTCAGGCAGAGAAAAGGGCAGAGTGGATGCTCCCCCCATCCGGTCCGGTCCCGTCCCGCTGGGCAGGGACCGGGCTGAGGGCAGAGCTGGCGCTGGGCACTGCCTCACCCTGCTGAGACACAGGAAGGAGGCGGGAGGCCAAAGCCGCTTCTCTGCCAAGGAGCAGCGCCGATGTGCGGGGCTGAACGTGGGATCAAACAGTCCGGAGTGGGATCTGCTGGGGGATGAGGGTCTCGGGAGGCACGGGATGAGCTGGGGACCAACCCGCACAGCCGGCTGGCATCTCTCCCGCGGGATGGGGTCAGCTGAATTTACAGAAGATAAAACAGACACACACACAAAACCAAGCATGTAACTGTGCCCTCTGCCCAGGCACAGCCCCCCTGCCCACCCCTGCCCTGCTGGGGCCGGAGTTCTGCCTCGCAGGGCACCAGAGGCACGGAGCTCTGCCTGGGGCTGCTGCGGAGGGGGGAGACCCTTTGCAGGGACCGTCCTTGGGGACCAGAGACCCCGCACGGGGTTCTCTACCGCTGCCGGGAATGCAGAGACCCTCCGTGAGGACGGAAAGGCCCCCCGAGGTGTCC